GCCAACAGGAAAAATTAAAGTATGTATGCGGCACTTGTTAATAAAACCTTGATTTTTATGAGCCCCATTGTTCACCTTTTAAAAAACTACTTTACAACTTGAAAAGGCATCTTTTGAATGCTCTCGAAAATGAACGTAATGAATTAAAACATATCAACGGTGAATTGGAAAGACAGAAAAGAGATAGTCATGCGTCTTTCGAGAAAGCCTCTGTGAAGGTAGATATTGAAGAACATGTTTAAATTTTTACGAGTTGGCATCACTCACGGTTTTTTTGTGTAGGTGGACGTTGCATTGTCTGGTCTGGTGAACGCTATTGCCAGCACTATGATGGAAAGGAAGCAGTCTAGTGATCAAGGTTTATACGTAAAATGCATACGCTTTACAGGTGAAAGAGACCCCTCTAATCACTTACAGGTTATAGGCGAGGTTCAGAAGAATTTTATGTACCAATGTACTACTGCGCTAAACGAAGTCTTGGAAATCGATGCTCTGTACACGAGAGAATTGGAACGACTCTGTTTGAAGTTATTCCCGCCTGTATGTTATTCTCAAAGTCATGGTTTCATTGTAACAGTCACTTATTCCGTTTTTTGCCCTACACAAAAAGGACCATGTCAAAAATATGAACGCTTTCGATGGACAAAGAACTTCTGAGGAGATTGAGAGACTCGCATCTTTGTGAGTTGTATGCATTTGTTTGATCAACGAAGCACTTCGCTCATGACATTTACTCGTCTATATACTTTAGGTATCCTAAAACCGAACGAAATTACATCGAGTCCGATATAGACTTGGAACGATTATCGACTTACTTAAGAGTTCTAGACCACGAAATAACTCGAATTGATCATTATGACTTTGACAACAACAGTCTGGAGTATGTAGTTCTTTATTGCTGTGAAGCGATGGTACTGGCTTGTACTTACTTTCGTGTTATGTGATAGATTGATGCAAGAGAGGAACGCAAGCCGAACAACTATGCTGAATGCGCAAATATTAGAAATACTAAATACAAACATAGAACCAGCCCTGGTCCGATTGGCCGAAACTGATATTCAAGCACCGGTTACGGCAGCTGACTATAACGCTAGATACAGTCAACAGCATTCCGTAAACGAACAACTTGACATGGTTTTGAATCTCCTGACGACTCAATATGCTTGGAGCCAGTTCTTGCTCCAATCCCTTGTTAATGAGTTTGAAAAGCAAGAAACTCTGCATCAGTATCTCCGTCAATTACATGACGATTGGCAAAAACGACGTGAAGATTTTGAAAACCGAATGGTATATTCCAATTATGTACTGATGTTGACCATCCCAAACGGCTAATCTTATATATCTACGTTTAGGCGCTCACGGCTACGCTAGAAGCTACAGAAGGGACCGCGACACCGACTGTTGTCGAAAGTCATGACACCTTCTTGTTATCCATGAAAAAGTTGTTGATGCTTGACTTGGGTATCTATGAACGATCTTGTATTCGTTCGACACTATTTTCAAACGCGCTTATGCATTTATTTATTCTTGATTGTAGCTTCTAAACTCACAGAAGCCAACCACGCCACTCCAATAGCACCCAAGACGCGATCGTTATTTACCTTTTATCAATATCTGAAAGAACGCGTTGAGAAATTTGGTCGTAATCGTTCAAATTTCTCGGCTAATATCACCGACGAGTTGGAAACTCAAACAAATTTTGTCCGAGCGTGGTTTGTACTATTCCATTCCAACAATGTTCTCATCCGATGAACAGTATACTTTACGTTATGTTATTTAATCATCATATAGCGAAGAAATCGAGCGTGACCTATCGTCATGTCTGCATAAAAACTCCAAGACGTTGGAACTTCTCCTCTCTCCCATGGTTAGTTCTAATTGCTTACTCCACGCGAATTTCAAATCGTCGAATGTGCTAATGCGTGTTAAACAATACCTGCCATGACTAGGAACTATCTGACTTGCAACTGACATTACGGGCAATGACAAACAAGCTACAACCCAGTCTCATTCAGTTTATGCATCACAACAATATCGCCCGACGATCCGTCTAATGCGTTCTATGTACGAAAGATCGTTCTAGTACAACAGGTAAGATCATTCTTTTCGAACTTTTATTTATGCCCACGGATTATTCACAAATACTCTTCAACCAATTTATCCTTGATTCCCTTTGAGAGCTCTCGACTTCATCAAAACATTCGGGCATTGATACAAATATTCTATCATTTTGAAAGTTCTTTTCCGTATACCCAATCCAATCATCAATTATACCTTGGGTAGCTCTAGTATAGAGTGCTCTTGCTATTACGATTCTGACATTTTCGTCATTCTGGTTGGTACGCTTTCTCCAGAATATAAAACCAGATAAATGATGGATAACCATCCAGTACAAGAACGGTGTTAATGCTTTGGATATTTTATAATTAACTAACGACCGTACAAAATTCTCCAGTACAGCTCTGTTAGTTTCTATAGGCCAGAAGTAAGCATGGAACCCCTGAATAGAAGATTCGCCTATGCATATGACTTCTTCGTATGTCACTGAGATGGTCCCCAGCACATCATATAATTCACTCCAAACGAGCATCTTGTATTCTACTGGATATGACCCACTTAGCGGAGTCAATAACAGACGAGCAAATTGTGTGTGTCCAAGTGATTCAGCAGCATACGCGGCGGTAAAATCAGTGAACAGCTGATAAAATGGAACACGTAAAACAGACTCTGCCGCTGTTTCTAAGAACGCAGTGGGTGGACTTGTTGACGAACTATAATCAACTGTCTCGTTATCCTTGAGAGTGTAACAATTCAATATTTTCTCGATCCATTGTTCAATTGACGAATCCCTATATACTTCCCCCTCTATTAGAAATATTTTCATCAGTGATATCACCATTATGGCTGGATTAATGGGCATGTCCACAATATCCTGATGCAGATCATATAAACCCAAGATTTGCCATGCAAGCGTTAAACAATGTCGAATTGTATCTCTCTTCACATCATCATCAACAACAATATCAGCCTTAGAGTAGAACTCATCTATCGGAATGAATATCCAACCCTTCGACAAAGGTAGCCCATTATGTTTAGTATCTAGGCTAATTAAAAAGTGTTGCAGGCTGAAATCATTACCGTTATCTTGTGATTGTTTAGCATTAACGATCCGGTTCCTATAGAAAGGCCAGAGCTTCTGGCATTCTTGGAAATTTAAATTCAACAATTGAGTTGATTTGGCCAGGGCGTCGAACATTTGCTCAACTGTTGTTAAAGCAAGCTGTTCATCTCCCGGTAGAATATGTGGAACCAACGCAAAAGCGTTCAGTGCAATCATCTGTAAATATTTGCCCCTGATATCATCCAAATGCACAAGATTATTATCGACAATAAGCTTCAAACAACAGATCCATTCATGACGTAAATAAGTTTTCCATCGACCAAAGAAATCATACCAACGCCCACTGGGCGTAAAAGTTAGAGAACGTTGTAATAAATCTAAAATCTCATTCTTCATAAGAGGATTTAGAGCCGATGAATAAATCTGCGCGTCTTCGGGGAATAACTGAAGAATACATCGTGTTAACGATAATCGCGTGAAAAGAGCATCACAAGCGGTTGAGATTGAAAGAATGTACTGTACACTCTTTAATCTGTTTGGGTTATAGACTCCAGGCAAATTAGGTAATTCCCATGATTCTATATTAAGCAGCAAACTCGACGATAGAAGGTTGCGTAGTCGCATAACAATGAGTTCTTGTAGATTGGTTGACTTCTCTTCCCCCAAAGCCAAATATTCCCACATTCTCTTTATTTCGCTCATATCTGTAACATTATAATTACTCAAATATTGGCTCCATGCAGCTAAATATCCAGTAGTGCGTGAAATCAAAACAAATGATTTTTCAACATAGCTGATATTAACATCATCCATAACTGACGTGTTCATATCTGGAGAAGATGCTGTCCATCTCTGCAATAGCTCGATTGCATCGTGCACAAATTCGCTAGGACGAGCACCGACTTGACTCTTTTCTTTGTCATAATCCGATCGCTGCATCAACGTCTCCATTAATGAAAAAAATGCTATGGCAATATCTAATTTACGCTGCATTATGCAATCGTCATCAGATGTTTCCAATTCCCAAAACATTTTCAATGAATATACAGCACTCATGATCCAACCTCTAAGAATTATATATGCTTCAGATAAAATACTGCGATAGAGTCCATGGGCAGCGAGGCACCGGTATGTCATAAAAACTTCTTTAACGATCTCATATCCAATAAGCCTTTCAAAATCAGTTGATAATGAAGATGGATCCATTACTAAATATCTCAACAACGTTTCCACGTGATTGTTTTCAATAAGTTTACGACTTATCCTAATCGATGCCGTACACAACGTTCGCCAAAGTCTGATGGTCAGTATAGTCATGTATCCTGTCATATGCATTTCTTCATAATTGGTCAATGGCCATGATATGCTGATATATTTTCGATAAAGAATCTCTAGGAGACCATGACAGTCGGCGATCGCTTCAGCAGCATCGACCGAATGTCGGGCAAATCGCAACAAAATTTGCAACATTTGCTTCTCAGCGATCAAAGGCAAATTCTCAGCCTTTAATAAATACTGAAAACGTAGTTGAACGCCCATAGCTAATAGTCCAGCGATCAAATCCCTTGACGTTAGGTTAATATGATATTCCGTTGTTTCATTATCATCATCATCATTTACTCCGAAACCATTCGTTGATAATTCCATACCGAACTGCTTCGTAATATGTGATTCCTTCCGAGGTTGTAGACATATACTTTCGTAACCACGATGAAGACTACTAGAATGATCCCATATATGTTCTTCTTCGGTGAATTCTTCATCATCACCGATTACCCATGCTGCTAGGGCATCAATAGCTGCAACCAGCACGGTCTCGAATGTATCATCTAAAGCCGTTCTCAAATACAAAAATGCTTTCATTTTAATCATCCAGGAACTGATATCACGACTAACGTTGTCACCATAGTGATTATTTCGGACCTTACGGAGGATCCTGGACACGACATTCAACGGGATCACTCTTTGACTCGGTACTAAGCTCCTCATCAAATGAAGCATTTCCGCAATAGTATATCCTGGTTGATCAGGATCATCGCCATGATGATGAAGACCCACAAAAACAGGCACTTCAGCGTTCCTTTCGACAAGATTACCTCTAAAATCAAATCTAAATGAAGCAGCTGGAGGATCTGTCGCAGTAGCTACATGTGGGCGAACTTTCTCATCATAACGTGAAGGAGATTTTGCGCCTATTTCCATCGTAACATCATCTGAATGCCTTGTGGTTTTGGAACGTTTAGATGACAGTCTTTTTAAGACTTCCGGAGAAAGTGTTCGTCGAAGCATTGCTTGCGCTTCAAGAATTTCATCCAAAGACATGTTTTCCAGTCTTTGTAAATTTTCTTGATGTATTTCTTCATAGACAGATTGAGAAAATTGCTGTCCCTCATAAGAAGGTTGAAGCGTGTGATCATGGCTTTCTCCTGCGACTTGATTTTCCAGATTGACTTCATTACTCTTTAATTTTTTCCGAAATCGGCTTCTGTGAGTAGGCTCAGGAAAGCCAGTTTTAAAAGAGTTAGTTGAAGATGAGGGGGGCAGAACAACACCAGTAGCTGTTCTTTCGATCACTGTGCCTATAATGTTTGTAGTGAGGTGTGAACTCTGGACGTCCTCGGGATCTTTGTTACCCTCATTATTATCAATTATCCCTTGCTGTACGACTGGTGGTTTACTCTGTTTGATTACTCTTGCCGCCGGCGACTCTTTGTTCCGAAAGAATTCTTCTTGGAGCTTTAGTAACTCTTCGTCCGTCTCTACAGTCAACGCGTCGTTTGGGCGAATCATCGATCGATAATACAGTTGATAATGATGTTTTATGGCGGGTGCAGTATATTAACCAAATATAGCTGTAATTTATAATAGGAGAATTTCATTATTGATGTCTAGAATATTTGACTATTGTCTTTCGAAGCGATAGATACATTTCAGATAGAAACAAGTTAAAATAAACTTACAGAAGAGGATAGACGCTAAGAATGTATTATTATTATAGAGGGTCAAAAATTTTATTAGTAACACGTAACTTATGTAATAAGATTAATATGTTTTGAAAGAGCATTATATTCGAAAATGCAATGCTCGTAAGCAGGATTGTTTTTTATCACGCTAAAATTGTTTGTTATGTAAGTGATGCCAGATAATTTCTTTATTCTAAATTCTCTGAATTTGTACACGCAAATAGCAACGTCACACGCACACCATTCTCAAAAATGCCAGTTCTAGAATATTAGATTATCAAAACAAACTGACGCAATAATGCAGGATGGTCCATTCGGTATAAAATCGTTACCTTGAATTTCTTCTTGAGTTTAATTTTTTAATAATTTATTATACCGACAGCATAAAGATTCAACAACGGTAGCCAAGAAGAGTGAAGAACCATGAGGGAAAGGTGTAAGTGGTACGTTGCATATAAATGGCATGTGCTACAGGTTCGCCATAAGGCTGACATATTTTCGAATTGACAGATTCAGGGAATAATTTGAGAGAGGCATCGGAATCGATGGTTGGAAAGGTAGAGAGAATTCCATTGATGGTAAACGACATCTACCTGGAGAGAATTTTCACAGATTACCGTGATAAATGCGAAGACATTTTTGAGCGAGTAAAATCGGCTCTCATAGTTAAAATAGAATCGAAATAGTAATTATATTCATTTTTTAGTCTATGTCATAGCGATATCATGGATATGCGACCGATTTCACGCTTCACGAATGAAATTTCAGAAAAATCTTGGAGCAAATTTGTATTTTAAGTACATATCCCGAACATACCAAAAAATAATGTCTTTATATGATCCACACAAAAAGTTGAAATTTCTCCAAAAAGAGGTGGTTTTTTTTGGGGGTTTTTTTCTTAATTTCAGTATTTTATCTACCTTGGAAAAGTTTTATACAAGAATTCTTCAAGATATGTCATAATTATGGGAAAGATGAAATGGTGTTATCTTTGTTATTTGCCAAACGTATCCTATTCACCACAGAAAGCCAAATTTAGCTTGAATTTTTTTCGGTAACGGAGATTTTGTTGATTTACACCTAGTGGTAGCGTCCCTTCGGATACGTACCCGAAAGGTAAACGATCCACAACATGGGCCTCGATGCGCTTTCAAGATATCCGATTTTTACACCTAGTAACAGCGTAACGTCGGGTACAAACGCTCAAGAATACACTCAGTAAGAATCCTTACCTCGTCTTCAAACGTTTTTCTCTCGCGTCTTTAACAAAAATACGCGTCATTAGTGTGAGTCTTCACGTTGGTCAGTTTCTCTGGGTCTTAGTGTCGGTTTGGATAAACAGTCTTGGTTGATAGTTTTTCAACATGTCATGACGGACGACTAAAAAATAATAACACGCCTTGCACAGTAAAGGGGTTTAACGAAAAAACAAAATTGAGTTATCGAAAAAAAATATATATATATTTTTTTTTGTTATGCCTTTTTATGTAATACAATTACACATCATGCAATCACCTGTTTCAACCAGATGATTACAATCCCATCAAAAAATTTACGGACACATGACTGCAGTGGGTGAAATTATAGAGCACATGTTTTTTACATATAGAAATAATCACGTGTCCGTAAATTTTTGATGGCTATGCTGGGAAAAATAGATAATTATGGTAAAAAAAGCCTGCCACCGCAGCATCAGCAGCTACCACCACGTGCCTGGCCCCATTAAGAAGAGTAAAAAGTAAAGCATATTTTATTATTAGGATATGATGAACATTGCGCAATTGCTCTAGGCATAATATAAGTATTAAGATTTCGGTCAAACACTGTCAATACGAAATTCATTATTAGACATAGCGTCAGTAAGCATCGTTTAGAGAGAGAGAAGATTATAAAATCATCATGAACATAAATAATAACATATAAGTATTTTCTGTGTCAACCCTTTTTTGAATAGTTGAAAATTTCTACAATTCGGACGACACATATAAAATTACGATAAGTCGTAACTCGGACAATCCTGTCGACCAGATAATACAGTAATGACTCTCGATAAGTCAGACCACGTGATTTTTTGCGGATAATTTTAAAATAATTACCCAATATATCATTTGTAATACATTATACAATTGTTTTAATTGTCAATAAAAAGGTTAAAAATAGTCACTTGCTTTCCAATTTATAACCAAACTACAATTATGAACGTAGAAAAACGTCTAGATTTAGAAGCAAAATGGGAAGAAAATTAACATTATTAACTAATATTCAAAAAAAACCAAAGCTATGCAATATAAGGAATAATCCAACTAAGTTGCTCAACTGTAGGAGACTTTACTACATAGTTATGAGTAATCTCGGAAAAGATCTTCAGTGTCAAATTCAAAGAAAGCGAATCGCTTCTCCAAAACAGCCTACCTTGGAAACTTTTTATAAAAATCGAATTATGTTTACATTTTATAACAGTTTGTATTAGCTCATGACACACTTCTTCAACGAATAAAACTAATAATCAGTTCAATCTTTACCATCCTTTTTTTTTTTCGTTTCGACACAACTTGTGTATCCAAAACATGTCTGATTCCAATCCACTATCGATTCTAAACGGAGAAATCAATCGAAAATATAGTTTGAGATATCCTGATCTTGTATTAAACAATTGTTGCTGCTACATAACAGTAACCTGATTATTTATTATGTAGCGGACTTTGTCGAAGAACGAATTATCATCATTATGGATATAATTTTACATTAATTTTGTGAGATAAGAGTACGGCGAATAATAGTTGCAAATTTGTTTGTCTTCTTTGCAACGCGTAAATTTGTCTTTCATATGTATGTAACATGACTTGACAGTGTGTTTCTGTTCTTTTGTTACGCATTGGAAACAATAAGAGTCAACTTTCCACTGCTCTAGGATAACGGTTTTTAAACTCTTTGTGAATTTTATATAGAGAAATACTTTTATGTTGACAGAACTGAACGTTGATGTTGATCTTCTTACGACAATGATTCTACATGGAGTTCACTTTTTATTTTTATATAATAAAATTTCAGGTACCGATTAGACTAATGTAGAAGTTGTTTGTAGATACAAATTAGTAAAAACAAAGCGATTGTTCTGCTAACAGGTCGGTCAAAATGAAAATACTCTGTGCAATCGTTGTGTCTGGTGATCGATAACTACTTCTATGTAGGATGTTTGCCATTATCATTATCATTCATTGCTCGGTTGAGAAGAACAATAGTGCGTCTCATCCTAATGCGGGTACACTAACCAAAACGATAACAAATCAAACCATTATTTATGGCGATATTTTGCTGTGCCATATGCCATGCCATTTAACGTAAATCACGTGAACATACTATCGTAAAATCGAAATATCAAGTATTTATATTTATATAAACGCTGGTAATAAATAATTGCCTAAATTTGACATTCGTGATACGAGCAAATGTAGATTGAACGAGAACCTTCCAGCAAACACAAACGCACCCCTAAACAATGGTCAATATAGTGCGGAAAATAATTTGTCCGACGACATGGTCTTCCGACAATTGACTATTTAACTCCGAACTTTTTTTTTAAAAAAACCCCGGCGATTTTTTTTCTTTACTATTACCTCTGTATTGTATTCCTGCCTATAAATTGAACCTGGCAAACTTTGGCTTCATCCTGACCATATAATAAAAATAAAGAAAATAGTTAAATATGGTAAAAGACACAAAGCTTTATGACATTCTGGAGCTGAAACCGGATGCATCAGAAAGCGAGATCAAAAAAGCATACAGAAAACTCGCTCTCAAATATCATCCTGATAAGGTAGTTACATATTAGTATGCTCGCTTCCAAATATATATGAGTTGGTGGGCTTATAAAGTTATATCAATGACCTGCGTGTGCTCCGTTACCGGAGACTGGTAGGAATCGTTGAAACATCCGTCCACTTACATAGTCCTCTGTGAGGCATCACTAGTTGATCCAGACTTTTAACACGTCGACATACGCGTATCTCCTAAGCTGTCATTTGTTTATTCTCATTCCTTCACTCTTTCTCTAGAATCCAGACACGGGAGAGAAGTTCAAAGAAATCGCTCATGCATTTGAGATTTTAAGTGATGAGCAGAAGCGTGCTGCTTACGATCGCTTTGGCGAAGAAGGTGTATCCGAGGGCGGTATGGGCATGTCAGCCGAAGATATATTCAGCTCGTTCTTCGGTGGTAGCATGTTTGGTGGTCGTCACGGACCCGGGCGACCGAGCGGCCCGCGTAAGAGCAAACCACTTCAACACATGCTCAAAGTATCTCTGGAAGAGTTGTACAATGGTAAAACAACAAAATTATCTCTTAATAAAAATGTCAAGTGCCCCAAGTGTCAAGGTCGAGGTGGAAAGGAAGGGGCTGTCAAGAGTTGCCAGACTTGTAGTGGTACTGGTGTAAGATTAATCGTTCGCCAGCTGGGTCCATCCATGCTACAACAAATTCAGCAGCCATGTAATGAATGCAGTGGTACGGGTCAAGTTATCAAAGAGAAAGATAAATGTACTTCTTGTAAAGGCAAAAAGTTTGTGTCTGAGCGCAAAGTTCTCGAAGTACATATTGCCAAAGGGATGAAAAACCATCAAAAGATTGTATTTGCTGGAGAGGCTGATTACCAACCTGGATATGACGAGCCTGGTGATGTTATTATTATTCTCGAAGAGAAACCTCATGAGCGTTTCATCAGAAGAGGAGATGACTTGTTCTATTCTGCTAATGTTGACCTATTGACTGCATTGGCCGGCGGAAACTTGTATATCAGACACTTGGACGATCGATATTTAAAGGTCTCAATAACTCCTGGTGAATCAATTAAGCCCGGTACGTAACGTTTGTGATTCTAGACAATTTAACGTACGTCGTTTCTAACTAATATTCCCATCCGAACATTGTGACGTTTGCTATTTGTAGGAGATATGAAAGCTCTTATTGGCTATGGTATGCCTTCTTATCGTCACCACAACTTTGGTAACATGTATGTTCAATTCAACATTGAATTCCCTCCTCCCAATTGGGCTGACTCTGCAACGATCACTATGCTTGAGAATATTCTTCCGCCGCGTCAGACACCTGCAAAGGTAGATGAGACCAGTGTCGAAGAGGCAGATTTCACCGCACTAAACGCAAATGAGAAGGCAAAACTCGAACAGAATAAGATTAATGGTGTGCCAGATGATGACGATGATGACGATGAAGGTGGACGAGGAGGAGTACAGTGTGCTCAGCAATAAGGCGGTTGTTGAAAGTGATGGGGAATGGACATTTTCCTACATTTGTTACTCGAGCTCTCAACTAATGACTTCTAGATTTCGTTTCTTTTTCATATTACGTAATATGTAGCTTAGCGTAGTCTCGATACAAATAGAGCGGGCTATAA